CTTGAGTTGGTCTATTGCAAGTTACTTCTCTGTGGTGCTGGACACTGGGAGAGTTTCCAAGATGTGTTAGAGGGACCAGGACACTGGCCTGATCTTGGTTCTCTTGGGGTATCTTCCATCCTTCATGGACAGCTCTATGATTCTGAGAAGCACAGTCCTTATTTCAAGGGCAAGGCTTTTCTTCTGCTCCTTGTGATGAGCTGGTGTCCTTTAGTTCACTTCCTCAAGCACGATAAATCAGCACATGATGTGAGCTAGATAGATCTATATCTTAAGAAAGTTAATACATTGTCATAATCTAAAGACTGATTGACATAAGAGTGAGGGAGGTAAGTTTTGATAACCTTGGCCCAGGGGATGTCTGTGCCCAGGTGGGTTCTGCAGAGAGCTGTTTGTTGGTCAAGGATCACCTCTTCATGATCCACAATGGTCTATTCCAACATGCAGGAAGTCATGCCAATGCGGCAGGAGGCTGGCATGGATGAGAAAGGAGCTCCTGACTGACATCAAGCATGAAGAGGAAGCACAGAGAAGGTGGAAGCTGATGCCTTCCAGCCTCAAGGGTTCTGTGGGTCTGTGGTTGAAGAGGGCCATTTTTAGGACTGTGCGTCTGCCTGTTTGTGCACGGGGGAACTGGAGGGATGAGGGAATCCCGAGGCCAGCTCCTAGACAGATGGAGGGTTTAAGACCAGCTCCTGGAGGGAGCTGGAAAGAGTCCAGCGAAGGGCTACAAAGATGATTCAAGGATTGGAGCATCTCCCTTATGAAGAAAGACTGAGAGAGCTGGGACTCTTTAGTCCGGAGAAGAGAAGGCTTAGGGGAGACCTTATCAATGCCTACAAGTATCTGAAGGGTGGGTTGAAGGAGGAGGGAGCCAGACTCTTTTCAGTGGTTCCCAGTGAGAGGACGAGGGGCAACGGGCACAAGTTGGAACATAAGAGGTTCCACTCAAATATGAGGAAAAACTTCTTCACGGTGAGGGTGACGGAACCCTGGAACAGGCTGCCCAGGGAGGGTGTGGAGTCCCCTTCTTTGGAGATTTTCAAGACCCGCCTGGATGCTCCTGAGTAACATGCTCTGACAAGCTCTAGGCAATCCTGCTTCAGCAGGGGAGTTGGACTAGATGATCTCTATTGCCGTGACCCACAATTTCACCCCCACATCATCCCAAAGTTCCCACCTAAAAATGCTAGATGCAGTTACAGTGGGCATTTTCATCTGTACCCATTTAAGCATTGCCTTAAGGTCTTGCCCAGGAACATTTTTCCCATGTTTATGAGGAAGAGCCTTGATAAGCTCATCTACGTCTATTTCCGGGGAAGACTCTTGGTTCCCCATGTTTCCCACAGCTCCCCTCTCTACTCCGGAGGGATTTCGGGCCGGCCGGCTCCTGCTTCCTTTCAGCAGCTCATTCAACGTCCTGTGGGACTCGCAGCATGCCGCTCAGCTGGGCGGTTCATAAACCCATCGCATCGGGGTCACCAATTTGCTGTGATTAGGAGACGGGACACAGCTGGATGCAAGCAAGATGTCAATTTATTGTGTGTAACCGTTCCTTTAAATATGCTTACATGAGCTGCGCGTTTTAAACAGATTGGTCAGTTCGTACATACACTGTTCGCGCGGCTGCTCCTGATTGGTTAGTGGTATACTGTTATGTTAATAATCATATCTTATCTTGAGGACACACTCCTTAACACCTTTTTGGGCGGGGTGCCTGGAACTTGCTTATCTCAATGTCGCTTATCTCAATGTTGAAACATTTCCCATGGTTTGTGACCGACAAGTTCCAACACGTCCCCTCCCATCAGCGGAGCAGGACCCGGGGGTTTTGCTGAGAACAGCCAAATCCTGTCCCACACTCTATGGTCCCTTCCAACTCTGAAAATTCAGTGAAATTCAGTGAAATTCAGTGAGGGATCCATGCTCTCTGTGTGTCTACGCAGGTAACATCTCCCACTAACATGACCAAGGGTGCAAAGAGCCCAACCCCCATTTCCCTTTCTCCACTGGCTGTGGATTGTCTTGGCCTGGAGACCTCCCGAGGTGCCTTCCAGGATGAGTGATTGTGCATCTCCTTCCAGCAGGGCTCTTCCCTTGAGGATGCCAGGGAGAGCACTCGGGTTCCCCATGACCACAGAAGTGAGCAGACAGAGGTTTGGTTCACTCATCTGCAACATTTGTGTCCCACTCAAGTCAGTGACTCAAGGCTGGTTGGCAGGTTACCCCAAACAGGAGTCATCATATCTGGAGCTGAAGTTTTGCTTTTCCTTTTGTGTTTTCTCCCCTCCCAAGTTCTTCTCCTTAACCATCCTCACAGTTTGCTCCACAAACAGCCCAACTCTGCTCTTTCCCTACTGGCCCTGGCCTATGCTTGTTTTTTGCCCTTGTATTCTGATACTAAGAGGGTTGTTGTGCTAATTCCTATGTTGATTGGTACAAAACTAGCAACTCCTGAATTAGACACTGTATCCTGCAACTGCTTTTATCTTGTGTTGATGGTTCACTGGAGGCACAGTGAGGGGTTTGCTCACAAACATAAAGAACTGATCAAATGGAGCTTCAGCTTAAAGTGATCTTAAGAAACTCTGGGAATGGGCCAACAGAATCACAGAATAACAGAATGGAAAGGTTTGGAAGGGACCTCTGGAGATCATCTAGTCCCTACCAAAGTTGGGTCACCCATAGCACGCTGGATAGGAATGCGTTGCGACGGAGGGAAGACAAGAGCACTCAATATGAGTGATCAGCAAGCTTCGTTTATTTAGACACACTACCATTCTTTTATGCACACTCATAATTAGCTCATACATATTGCAAAATGAGAGCTCATTATTGGTTAGTTCTAAAAAGACAGTTCCGCCCGAAATTCCTTTCTTACAGTTACATGTTTACCTTATCACAGACATTCTGTTGTTAGACCACAGCTGCCTTCAAGGCCAGAAGAAAAACTTCAAGGCCTTGCAGTTATTGGGAGCCAGATAAGCTGAGTACGGTGCTTATTGAGCTCTTGCTGGGCTAGCTGGCCCATGTCTACGTGACCCTTCTCAGCTAGCCAGTCTCCCACAGCAACAGATCCAGGTTTGGATATCTCCAGAGAAGGAAACTCCACAATTCTCTTGGCAGCTGGTTGCAGGGCCCTGGCACGCTCAAGTAAAGAAGTTTCTCCTCATGTTGAGATGGAATTTCCTGTGTTCCAGCTTGTGTACGTAGCCCCTTCTCCTGTCACCAGGCACCACTGAATAGAGTCTGGCCCCATCCTCTTGACACCCACCCTTTAGGTAATGATAAGTATTGGTGAGATCCCCTCTCAGTCTTCTCCAGGCTAAACAGACCCTGGTTGCTCTTCCTTTCCTTATCAGAGAGGTGCTCCAGTCCCTTCATCATCTTTGTAGCCTCTGCTGGACTCTCTCCAGTAGTTCCTGTTCTAGAACTGGGGAGGCCAGACCTGGATACAGTACTCCAGATGTGGCCTCAGCAGGGCAGAGTAGAAGGGTGTGAAGACTTCCCTCAACCAGCTGGCCAACTCTCTTTAGTGCACCCCAGGAGACCATTGGCTTTCTTGACCACAAGGAAACATTGCTGGGTTATGGTCAACTTGCTGTCCATCAGGACTCCCAGGTCACTCTCTGCACAGCTGCTTTCTGCCATGTGAACCAACCCCTAACGTTTCCCAGTGCACGAAAGAGAAACCTGTTAAGTTTTACAACGAGAAGGGGCCAGTCCTGGGTAGGGGAATAAAAACCTGATATATCAGGGAACCTGACCAATGGAGCAGTGATGCTGAGGAGAAGGCCCTGGGTACTATGAAGGACACCATACGAGCCAGTGGTGCGTTCTCACGATGAACAAGGCCAACTGCAATGGGGCATTTATTAGGAGGAGTGTGGCCACCCCAGATATCTTGAGTTTTTTCCCCCTCCAGTGGGTCGTGGGGGGGCCACATCTGGATGTGTGTGTCTATCTGTGGGAATTCCTGCTGTGGAGAGGTGGCCAGGTGCGACAAATAAGGGCATGGACTCTGCCAAATAATGAAGCAAAGACATTTAATGCTTTATTTTTACAGCATATATAGTCTCTCTCTTGTGATCACGCGCTGTACTCTCTACACAGATAGGTTACAAGGGAATGTCCACGCGCTATTGTGAGCAATACAATTGGCTACATTTAAGTGTTTACACATTTAAACTACCAAAACGTTACTTTCTATTTTTCTACCTTGCCATCTGTTGTTTGCATCGCCTTGCTAGATTTCCCGCCACACAAATAATACTGTATAAAGACATTGTTTTACTATTCCCACAGCTCCCTTCCCCCCAGTGCAAGGACATCTGCCCAATTCCCACCGAGCAGCTCATCCCCCGCTTCTCCATTCTGCACAGGCAGGAACTGGAGAGTGCCCAGAGCAGGTCTGCAGTTGTCCTGTTTTAAAGATCCCAAGCCCCATCTTTACTGACCTTTTACATCCCAACTCAGCCCACGGAACACGCTGAGCCAGGAGAAGCACCGGGCTCTCCAGACCACTCCAGATTCCCTTCCCAGAGGGTGGGTGTCTTCAGTGTCCCCTGTGTGAAAGCCCTGGGTACATCCCTCGGTTCCACTCCCCATCTAACCTGTCACCAATGGTGTCCAGTCCTACATCTCTAAAATGTCAGAGCTTTTCATTCCTGAACTCACGAAGGAAGAGGAAATTCAGGGCTGCAGTTCCTCAGGCCCATTTGGAAAAAGAGCCCGGTATGAAAGCACAGCAGTGGGGAGATCTCATTTTGTTGCAGAGATTCTATGAAAGAGACCAACTCTGAGCAACTGTGAAACACACTTTTATAAGGGAACCAGGTGACACAAGGAAGGTACATGTGTTGGGTGCAGTGACACAAATGCAAACATTTCTGTAGAAATAAACTAAACATGAATGAGAATAACAACAACGATCATGATAACTATAATGGTTCAAAATAACAAATGAAAAATAAAAACAGTATAATCAGATACTGTGGGAGTCATAGGTGGGGAGAGGTGGCCAGTTTTTCACTCTTGAAATATGCCCATGATATCAGCCTCCTAATGGCCTCCTTGAGCTCCTGGTTCCTCATGCTGTAGATGAGGGGGTTTACTGCTGGAGGAACAACAGAGTACAGAACCGAAACCACCAGATCCAGGGATGGGGAGGAGATGGAGGGGGGCTTCAGGTAGGCAAATATGGCAGTACTGAGAAACAGGGAGACCACGGCCAGGTGAGGGAGGCATGTGGAAAAAGTTTTGTGCTGTCCCTGCTCAGAGGGGATCCTCAGCACAGCCCTGAAGATCTGCATGTAGGACAGCACTATGGAAACAAAACAAGCAAACGTTAAACAAAAACTTAATATAAGAAGCCCAACTTCCCTGAAGTAGGAGTCTGAGCAGGAGAGCTTGAGGATCTGGGGGATTTCACAGAAGAACTGGTCCAGGACATTGCCCTGGCAGAGGGGTAGTGAAAATGTACTGGCTGTGTGTAGCACAGTATAGAGCAAGCCACATCCCCAGGCAGCTGCTGCCATGTGGACACAAGCTCTGCTGCCCAGGAGGGTCCCGTAGTGCAGGGGTTTGCAGATGGCAACGTAGCGGTCATAGGCCATGATGGTGAGAAGAGAAAACTCTGTGCCAAGGAAGAAGACCAACAGAAAGACCTGGGCAGCACATCCTGCATAGGAGATTGCCCTGGTGTCCCACAGTGAATTGGCCAGAGCTTTGGGAAGAGTGGTGGAGATGGAGCCCAGGTCAAGAACAGCAAGGTTGAGGAGGAAGAAGTACATGGGCGTGTGGAGGCGGTGGTCACAGACTACGTTGGTGATGATGAGGCCGTTGCACAGGAGGGCAGCCAGGTAGATGCCCAGGAAGAGGCAGAAGTGCAAGAGCTGCAGCTCCCTTGTGTCTGCAAATGGCAGGAGGAGGAACTGGGTGAAGGAGCTGCTGTTGGACATTTGCTGGTTTTTGTCATGGGGGCTCTGTTGAAAGAAAAAAAGACATTAAAAAATTAGAACGGACTTCTGTGAGTTTCTCAGGTTGGTGCTGGCTGAGTGTGCTGTGAGAAGCAGATGGCTGTTCATGTGCTACTGAGGAGTCAGCTTTGTTCCACTGCAGTGGTTATTTGGGAGCTGGTTTGTGACAGCTCTGATGTTCATGTGGGGTGTCAGGCTTAATCCACCTTTAATGGAAAAGTTCAAAATCTGCACTCAGGACTCTCTAGAGCGTGGGCTGCAGAGGAGAGGCTGAGCATGTCCTTAGAAGAATTTTGTCCGTGTTCTTTATTTTCCACAACCACACCTGGTGAGTGTTCTTTTGAGGGGTGGAAAGCCTCATTTTTATAACTGAAAATGTGGAGAGTCTTGAGACAGGAGAGGCAAAAAGGCTCAACTCTCTGTGGTTTAGGGCAGAGCCAGGAGAGCTACAGTGTCCATCAGTCATTTTTCCATCTGCCCTGTGTTTTCCCTTGCGCTGCCTTGAGGATGAATTTGCACACAAATCATTCATTAAATAACAAGAACTAACTGAACTCATCTGGGAGCAGTAGAGCACTAGTTCAAAGGACAGATCTGTGAACTCTTCTCTGTCCCAACGCAGAGTTGGAGCTGTGATGGAGAGAGCAGGACATGGTCCCTCTCCGAGAGAAGTGAAGGACTTGGAGAGGAGCGTGACGACCTCTAAGGAAAGGCTCAACTCTCCCAAGGATCCTAGGGATCAGCTCATTGCCCAGAAGACACTGCCCAGAAGACATCGCCAGCGAAGACCAAGAGAAAGCTGCCTGAAGGCCCCCTCCCCCAGTGTGTTGGCAGTTTCCCCCCAGCCCCTGCCCACGCTTCTGCTGCCTGGGGCTGTCCCTGCCAGGAGCTGTTTCTCTCTCCCCAGTTCTCCTCCTGCCAGTGCTCCCAGAGCCCATCCCACCTGCTGGCGGCTCAGCTCTGTCCTGCAGTCACCTCCCAGCCACCAGGCACTGCCCAGGGCCATCTCGGGCTGTGCAGGCTCCATGGGGACAAAAGCAATACTGATGCTCTCTGTAAGTAGCAGAGTGTTGATTTCCGATGTGTCCCGGTTTACTCACCTCTAAGAGAACCAGATTTGGAATTTCAGTGCCTCCTCCTGAACCAAGAGATTAATTTCTCTGTCCCATTGCCCATCCAGAAAACCCAGAGCAGGACATTGAAAGAAGAAAGAACGGGATCCTTCCCTTTTAGGTAGCCCCTGCCTTGCCGTGCTTCTTGAAAAAGTCCCCTGGGAAATGTCTTGGGGTGATTTGGAGCTATGAGCAATCCTGACCCAGGCACCAGCCTCTCAAGAGCAGAGGGACCCTGTCCTGCCCTACATATGCAGTCCTTCTCCCCGCAGCTCCACGGGGAACTCCCTGGGCAGGCTGAGAGCTGGGCCCTGCAGACGGCAGAGTCCCTGCCCCAGCACACAGCCCCCCCTGGGGTGCAGGGGCCTTGCTCTGAAGGACAGCCTTGGGAATCCCTGGGTGCACCCCCGGGTGCACCCCCAGCTTCACAGCTTTTCAAATTGTCACACAAGAGCCCCCCTTACTCCCCTTACCGATCCCATCAGCTGGGTCTGTGCCAGCTTTAGCAGATCCTTCCAGGAACTACACCGTTGTTGCTCTGCACCCAGAGACTTTCCCTGTCAAGGACTGCAAAGATTTCTCCTCCAGAGAGCTCTCATTCATCCTCCCTGTCCTGACCATCTTTAAGCTCTCTCTCTGCCTGTCTCATTTCCCTGAGATACCCTGGCAGTGCCCTCAGCCCTGCTGCGCTTGGCAGAGGAGCTGCTCCTGGGCAGAGCTGTCTCTCTGCAGCACTGCCCCATGGCTATGAGCTTCCTCTGTCCCAGGAGCCCAGCCCAGCTCGGCAGCAGAGGAACAGCCCAAGGCATTTTAATGATCCCTCTGGTGGGTTTGATGCTGAGTCCATGAGCTTCAGATGCTGAGAAGTTGAAGAAACCTCTCAAGAAGTGAAAGTCAGATTCAAACTCCAAAGTTCCTTGTAGAGTTAATGGGTCCCACTGAGGGCCACCACTGAACAAGTGTCCCCAGGGTCCAGTCAGAGCAGAAAACTGGAGGCAGGCTGGGAGAAGTAAGGTGAAGGTGGCTCTGATGCTGAGGAAACCTTGGTGGGTTTCATTAATATAAAGGGCCAAGGCCTGACCCCAAGCCTCCTGGGAGGGATATCCTGTCCCTCACTCATTCTTCAGGGCTTTTCCTGGGGCGCTGTGATGTGGAGATGTGCAATGCCAAGGACCATGGTCAGACACCTCCCAGGCTCCTGAGTGTGGACAAGGAGGTAATGAGGCCCCAGTGCTGGAAGGATCAGTTGTCTCCTCATAGGCACCAGTGACAGAGGCAGCAACCGTAGCCAAAGACAAGGTTGGCTCTGAGGGGGCTTCCAGTTTTGCCGCATCCCTTGATCTTCACCACAGGCTGTCATACGTTGCCACATCTCCTCTGCCTCTTTCCCTGCAGGCTGCAGTCATCCACCCGGCTCTCCCACCTTGCTGTCACCTTCCTTTGCTGGTATCTCTCCATCTTCCCTGGCTCTTCCTTGGAACACAGAGCTTTGGGCTGATCCAGACTCCTTCTGGGTGATGTGTTGCACAACAGCACTGCCCTGGGAGTGACATCTCCTTCTCCTCGTGTCCAGTCTGGACCTCCCGAGCTACACTTTGGGGCGTTATTTCTTTCTCATGTTGTTTTCCACTATGAAGAAAAGCTCCAGCAGCTCCAAGACCACCCTTCAAGCCCTCTCAGGCGGCTACTTCTATGCTGTCCTCAGTCCCCACACCAGTGAGCCCAGGGCCCTCAGCCTCTCTCTACTGGTCATTGCTTGAGGCCTCCAAACCCCATCTTGGGAGATCTCTGGGCTCTCTCCACAGTGTTTGCAGATGAAAACACAGTGGTCATAGGCCAAGAAAGATGGAGCAAGACTTTTTGCCAAAGCCTGTAGTGGCAGGACAATGGACAATGGTTTTAAATTGACAGAGGGTAGATTTAGAATCATAGAATCATAGAATCGTCTAGGTTGGAAGAGACCCTTGGGATCATCGAGTCCAACCATCTCCCCTACTCTACAAAGTCCTCCCCTACACCATATCCCTCAGTACCGCATCTAAACGGCCCTTAAACACAGCCAGGGATGGTGACTCCACCCCCTCCCTGGGCAGCCTGTTCCAATGCCCGACCACTCTTTGGGTGAA